GGCCGGCATCAGCACACACGCTCCATTTTGACTAAGGTTAGGATAACGGACCTGATATATGATGAACAGCATGATTCGTATTCATGCTGTTGAGCACTTATCAAGTTCGTTGTCCTAACCTTAGTCAAAATAGAGCAACGCCTCTCTCTCTCTCTCTCTCTCTCTCTCTCTCTCTCTCTCTCTCTCTCTCTCTCTTTCTCTCTCTAGCATTTACCCACGGTGAGGGTTATCATTATCGGTCGGAGCGCGTGGATCAGGAATAAAGCCGATGTAACCATCGTTATGCGGGTTAGGCCACCTCATACGCATCGCCTCCTCGAATTCCGCCGGCGGTCTCTGACAGCGAGTGTAACTGCAGAGGTTCGCGAACTCCCTGTACCATGCGAATCTGTTAGCCGCCGCGTTCAATTGATCGTTTCCAACGAGGATATGCAAAACCTTCTCATTGCGGTCCTCCTCACCGACAATCTGTACTGCGGTCTCAACCAAAAATGCAGGATGCGGCCATGTTGCTCGTATTTCATCCCCGTTTATTTGCGAGGGAGGAGGTCGTGGGCGACGTGCCACGACGACTGCTGGCCCAAGCCCGGGGCCCCCTCGACCGCGCACAACTCTACGTCTTGGTCGACGGCCATACACCATGTCCCCATCATCTTCATTGATGGGTGCTTGAGCTTGTGGTTGCTCCATTATAGTGTCGCGTCGTGAGTATCTGCAACAGATGCGGTGGAAACCAGTGTCGGTGCGCGGAACATGGGAATCAAATATCCATAAAAAGGTTCGATCTTGCAGATAGAGTGTAGCGGACAAACGACAAGCCTCCACACACCGTTTCGAGGCTTCAACTTTGACATTACAACTCCAACATCGTCGAGGTTGTCATTTTCGAGCACTAGGCTTTCATCTAGATCCACTAGTCCAAGTTCGAGGGCCCGGGACAACGACCGAACGGTTTTTGTTTCTTCGACTTTTGAGAATTTCGTCCTTCGCAGCCAATAGAGTTATGCTCCTCGTCATGACCCGAACCGCGACACGACACGGAAACATACGACCCAAAGTTGTCCCGGGATATACTGACTGAGTCGGGCGTCTGGATCGTGCTTCTTGATAGGGAGGCCGCAGCTTGTGGCAAAGAGAAACCGAGTTGGACTTCAGTGCAGCCATGAATGTCGAGGCCCGACACAAGGAACGGAGTCGAATGATTAGTGGAATCGACATGTGGCTTGCCCTCCTCGCACAGCAGTCGTTGCTCACGTATTGTGCAAAGAGCCTCACGGTTATCCAATTCCATTTTTTTTTCCCGCAAGGACGACACAATTGTTTGCACCCCGGAATACGATGTCGATAGCACAGTACGTGCGCTGTTGAGGTCGTTTGTCACATCCTCTATATGTTTATCTATGTCGTCGAGGTCATATTTGCCTTCATTCCCTTCTGCAATTGACTTGTCAAGGTCGTCCGTTATGTATGGTGGCAGACGGCGCATACGCTCACGGAGCGAATACTTTTCTCGGTCATCATGAGGATTCATGACACAGCCACAGACTGAGTGACGTGATATCTGGAAATACAAAACAAAAAACCAGAGTCGTGAACACATCACACATTATGGGTGGAGGATGACGCCGCGCACCATTCATGCAATATATATATATATATATATATATCACTGCCCCTCGTTTCTTGTCCTCTTCTCTCTCTCTGCCTACGGTTTATCGGGCAGTTCTGTTCGTGACGATATATATATATATATATAAAGCGTCACCAGTCCGTACGTACGGAGTTCCCCAAACAGACCTCCGTGTGTGCGGGTGTTCATGGTTCCTTACGGGGTGGGGTCCGAACCCGACGCCGTTCGGTCCCCGCCTAAAATTGTTTCGGGGACTAAAAATAATTATTTTTTTCTGAGTTTTTTTTTTTGCGAGTTCTCTGTGACGTGAGGTACATGCCTGTAAAATGTCAAGTCATTTGGCTAAGCCAAATAAGAATTACAAATCGCCATAGATGGCGGTGTCAAAACATGCTCGCCCACGTATTTTTTTTTTGGGTCCGCGTTCGGCCGTTCGGGCCGAACGCATCTCCAAGGGGTCCCGTACGTTTGGGCGTTTGGCCCGTCCCGATCGCCGGCTACCATATATATATATATATCGAAAGTTGAAGATTTATATTATATGTATATTTGTACATAAATATTATATGTAATAGTTATGTAATACAATATTTATATACAAATAGACATATAATATAAATCTTCAACTCGCGACAAATGTATCTGTATGTATGACTCGTGTGTTGTCTTGTACTCTCTTTGTGCCTACGGTTCACCGGGCAGTTCTGTTTGTGACAATATATATATATATATATAGTCACAAACAGAATTGGCCCGTATGGTAACCGGAGTCCAGGCGTTTCTTACTGCGCCGTTTTTTTTTTTTTTTTTTGACCCCGTCAAAGTGTTGTCCGGGCCCAGTGGTCAAGGCTTGTTATGG